ATGCAACAGCCCTGGTGTTCGAAAATTTATTAAGGTATATTATTACAAGTATTTTTAGTTATTATCTTATCCTGCCTAATTTATAAATTAAGCTATAGGATAGGTATTTGTAGGAAAAATATAGTGTGTATATGGGATTTTCTACTGTCAGAGGTGTCAGGCATCCATTCGGGGACATGGTACATTTCCCCCATAGGAATACTGAACAATATTAAGTGGTGCTAGGAAATGAATCCAGGTCCTCGTGGCATGCTAGGCAAGTACTCTGTAACTGAGCGATACATCTACTCCTAAAGGGTCTTTTTTTTTTTTTTTTTGAGAAAAGGTCTCCCTGTATCCCAGCCAGAACAGCTGGCCTTGATCTCATAGAGATCGGCCTGACTCTGCTCCTGAGTGCTGGGTATAAGGACATGGGCCACCACACCCAGCTCTAAAGAGTCATTTTAAAGAGATGCAACCAATTCTTGGTATGAGCTGGTAGACTGGCTTTCAAATAATGCTTGTGACTTAAAATTCCTTCCATTCTTTCATTTCTTCCATCAGTCTTGGGATCTGGAACGTAAGATTGTGCCACAGGGCTATGGGTATGGAGAAAAATAAAAATGTGTAATGAGGGCTTGCCTCAGCTGCATTCTCCCACTCAGCTTTTCCTCTTGAAAGTGAAAAGCTTGGGCAAACAGATGGGCGATCATCAGGAGATCAAGTGATCCAAACCCACACTGGTTTCAGCTCACACAGTCCATCCTGAAGAAAGCAAGAGGAGCCGTATTGAATGGGCAGTCACTTGTTCAGCTCTCCTGGCTGGCAGCTCAGAGTCAGGGGTGTTCCCCGCAACTGCTAGCACTTTCCCTAGCATACACAGACAGGATCCCATGGAGATGATGTCAAGTCCATGAAGAGAGAGGAAATGCCTCATCCTACACAATCATGTTTGCCCTCTGAGGCAGTGGAGCTATTTAAAAGGTGTCCAGTGAAATATGAAATCCAAAAAGAAACTTGGGGAAGGATTGAAGGTGGTGGAGTGTGATTAGTGAAGTTGAAATCTGTCCAGACCACTGAGTTCACCACCAATGCTATAAAAACAATGCTTTGGGCCAGTTACATTATTTCATTCCACCTGAAACTATGATTATGGTCTGGATGATTAAAAATTTTTGTCCCATTAACTACAAATGGTGGAAATGAGTAAACCATGAGCAGATGGCTGCCTTAATGGAGTACTAGCCCAAATCACAACAGTCCTCTAGGGTCTGAGATGGCTGTTTTTAGCTACCATGATTGACATAAGCACGTATTATAAAATTCACATGGTACCAGGGCTTTGGAGCAAGGTAACTGAAAATTGTCCGTTTATATTTCACCTAACAACTGATGCTGAAATGTGCATGATGAAAACGAGACAGCAAACAAATTTAGAAAGAGGCAGAACTATTTCAACAATGTTGCTAGTAGCCTTCCCTTAAAGAAAAGACAGAGGGCAGTAGCTGCCAGAGATCAGTGCTGCAGGTGCTTCTGTTCTTGATGGAAGGTTTTGTCTGGCCCTTGACAGGAACACCAGTTGTCCTCCGCACCCCCCAATCCCAGGCATTTTCTCCAAGTGGGAAGCTATTAGGCAAGACTGAATTACCAATCTGGAACTAGCCAAGTACATGGTGCTAAGGCTTGGTGTGTGGCATACCCACTGTGTGACTGTACAGCTCTTGGGTGGTCACCATATCTGGAGAACTTTCTAGGTATATCCTGTGGTCTGAAAATGGGCAAAGCTTCCAAGATGGTAAAAGAAAGGATTTGCACCTCATCTGGTATTTTCTGCATAGCATTACTAATGTCATGCACTGGCCCATGAATATTAACTGTAGACTGACTTGGAAGATAGCAGGAACGGGCTTAAGTACAGCTAAACTCCCATGAGAATTCAAGTTTCAGGCTTGCCTCAGATCCATGCCCAGGTTAGATGGTACAAATAAAGGGTAACCCACATCACAAAGCAAGATTCAATGTGAGGAACAACGGCGGCATCTGCCAGTCCTAAAGTACGGAACAGCTGCAGGTAGGTAAGCTTTCGCAACTGCTATTTGCAACAACTAAATCACAATCAGTTTCTGACTACATTATTTCCAGGATCTTTGGCTGTTAACATTTTAGTAAGTTCCAGTGAATTTGGGCATAGTGGCGCATGGCTGTAACTCCAGCACTTGGGAGGTAGAGACCAGATTAGGAGTTCAGGGTCACTCTTGACTACAGAGTTTGAGGCCAGCCTTGGACACAGGACATGTGGCCTTTAGAAGCAGAAGTACCAATGAACCCAAAATCCTATGATGAAACAGTTGTAAACAAATAAATCCAAAACATTGATTCAGTTTTAACAATTTATTGGGTAAATGATTTTAAAGGTAATAACAATAGTGTCAAAACTACTACAATATCTTTCCACAGCCATACCTTACAGACCCACATAAACCTGTTCATATTTTTCTTTTTTTGCTTATTTTTAATATTTTAAAGCCATACATGTCATATAAAATGCCCATTTCCAATAGTTTCTTCAAACTATTAAGCAATTAAATGTGGAAGGAAGGAGGACCTAGTTATACTGGAAGGGGTTTTAGATAATCTGTGACGTCTTACTGTAATCAAAAAACCAGGTTACTAAGAAAGAAGGAAAAGAAGAGCTACTCCAGGTAGCTTTATGCTCATTACAAGTCTCACCACTGCATCACCAAAAACTCATTATGCTGGTGACCGATTCAAAGCAATTTTGGGGGACATATAAAACACTAAAATAACTTAGAAACTAGATCCAAATATCTCAAAAGTAATCAACTTTGATATACAAAAGCAGTCAGAGGTGGTTACAAAAGTATTTTTTTGTTGTGGTGGTTTTATTTTATTCTCAGTGCGTCTATGTACCAGCGCAGTTACTGGGTCTGGAGCAAAATAAAAGGTTTATTTTCTTCTGAAACAGTAATAAAAAACAAGGAAAACATATCTTTGTATATAAAGGATCAATGCTGGTCTTCAGAATAATGTAATCAGAAACCCTTAAATCGAGAGGCACACAATGGGTTTCCACTTTTAAAAAATAAAAGGAAAGTCACCAGTTTATTTAAATGGAGGAGGTGCTCACACTCCTCAAATAAACTTAATTTAGTTTAACATCACTAGCAAAAAATCACTTAGAAACTGTACAAAAATAAAAAAGTTAACACATTTAATCCTGCAAGGTTTTTGTAAGGACTGGAAGGCAGGCTTTTGGAGCAGCATTTGGGCATGGCTGGGGGCTTCTTTGGTTTGATCTAACACACATAAGAGATGGAACCTATTCCAGATGACAATTTCAAATTCTTGCACATTTGAAAACAAGAGGCCAGTCAACAAACTTCTGGTGTGCTGTGCAATGGGACTAAACATCATGGGTGGGGTGGGGTTGGGGTAGGGTGGGGGAGAGAGCAAGCCTTGCACTTCCTCCATCAATTTCATCGAACTCTCATGGTGAGGGATATTAGAGACAGTAGTAGTACGTTCTTGTGCAGTCAGAAGGCCACTTGGGGCGGGGGGCACACAATTGTTCTTTTAGAATCTGGTACCTGGCTGATCTTGTTCAAGAACAAGAAAACCTTCCAGAAGTGGAAGTCTTTTGCTACATACCAAAATAAAATACACAGTTTTCCAAGAAAATACCCAGTTGCATTTGAAAACAGAAAACTTAAATGGAACTAATTAACATTTAAAAGGGGCTATGTAAACTTTGTGCTACTCAAATGAAGTTCAAGTATTACTTCTGAGCTGTTTAAAGATCACTGAACTTATACAATATTCCGGTGATAAGAGTGCAATTCACATTTGTGTTTCTGAACAAGTAAACCACAACTGGCTAGAACACAACTTGTGCAATTAGAATTTTCGTCTGAGTTAAAGACACATGCTACATATTTCCACATGTTCAAAGTTAATTCAAACCACATATTTAACAGCTTTGTAATATACAACAAAGGTGAAAGGGTCTAGCATTTGTTTGTTTGAAGCACACCATTACAGTTTGCATAACACCCTTTACACTACAAAGTCTTTTAGTCAACAGCTATTTAAGACACAAAAATGTACTGTGCATCAACTTGAATACAAAAGGAGACAAAACTATCCTTTTCCCCCAAGCCATGGTGGGAAATATTGCTGACCTCGTCCTTTGAAGCCTGCAGGATGGTTATTTCTTCAGTATAACATTATTACACTGGTAAGAAAATCTGTATAACATCTGCATATATCAAGAATTTTAAAAAATCTGATATGATTTTAGAGTCCGCATGACCAGTCACGTGACCTGCTCAAGATTGATTAGCACCGTTAAATACATAAGCACACACATATGCACATATGCATGTGTAAGTATATGTACACATACGTGCATATATGTATGTGATAGATCTTTTCTTTAAAACAAAACAAAACAAAACAAAACTTGTAGCGATAAGCTCACCCAGGACGAGGAGCCTGTTGAAATGATGAGATGATGGATAAATGGTAAATGGATTTCACAACAATATTGGTCTACCCCCTCTCTCTTAAGTTTTGTTTGTTTCATTTACATTTTTTTTTTTGCAGCAGACAATACCATTTAGCTTGTGCTCACTTTCCCTATAAGGGCAAGAAAATGTCAGGTAGCCACTTGATTTTATACTGAAATACTAATCTATTCCAAAATGCTCCCAAGTAGAAACAACAGGATTCAAAATCCCTTTCTAAAGCCCAATAGCTAACTCTTTCCCACTTATCTCTGGGTTCAATGGAACTGGCTACCAAGATTGCATTTCAGGCTAGCAATTGGCTTCTTAGTTAAGGCATCACAACTGAAAATGATTATTTCAATGATGGATGCTGTGGATGAAGGGATACCAAACTTCTAAGAACTCTCATCAAAAGCTAAAGCAGTGTGCTTTGCCCAGTGGCAAGCAGAATGAATTCAGCCAATTACTTTAGAAGCTAGAAAAGGATGAATTCTGAATTAGCAGTCTGTCACTTGTCACAGCAACTAAATGTATAATAAGCTATATCATTTTGATATTCAGTGACATGTCATAATTTAGAATATACATTCTGCAGCATAATTTCATCAATTGTTATATTGACTTCCCGCTTGAAAAATTATATATTTCCCCAAATATATATCTATATATACCTCTCTATATATACTACCATAAAACAAAGGTCATCTTTTTCCAGAATCATCTGAGTTTTCCTGGAGATAAACATACGGACTTCCCACTGACATCAGTTAAGTTCTCTTTGTATGCACCATGGGAAAGGCTAGCCCTGCAAATGAGTTGCTCTAAGTAGCATATCTGAATGTGAACTCCATCTTTAGAGATATACTACCCTGTCAACATAGTAAATGTGTTTCTTTCAAAAGTATGAAGTGCAGAGATTCAAACTCTTTTATAGTATCTCTGAAACTTCAGCACTGTCTCCATGATAGACAAATGAATTTTAAATTATGATATGTATAAACTTTTGTTTCACTAGACTTTCTTTATCATATCTTTAGATGGCAGCTAAAGTCGTCTCTGGCCAATTATGACTCATTGAAACCTAAAGCTAACAAATTTAAATGAATACAAAATAGACAAATGTCTTTTTGGTTCTTTGCGCAAAATAATTTTTTCAGCTAAAAAAATACTTTGGAGTAAGGAATTCATGTAATCTGTTGTTCCTTATATAGAAACAATAAAATTTTATAAGAATATTTCTCTAAATTGCCTTTTTAAAAACCCCTCTTAATTTGACTTATAGTCTTCTCAAAGGCACTAAATTCTGCATCTAATCTCTTCCTAATATTTGTTGCTCTTCAAAATGATTTCTATAGCGTATTTGAAACTGTACTTTCCTAAAGCAGTGTTTCGGTTTGTAAATTGAGTCTATGATGTGATTCTCTTCTATGATAACCAGCACAGAAGGCATAAATGGTTTCTTATTCTCTCCAAAAAACCCTATCATGGACCTTCAAAGTTTTATTATGAAAACTAAAGCTCATTTATCTTAACCATGGGAAAAACATGTACTTGATGACCCAAATACGAAGTTGTCATAGCAAAGAGAATTTTAGGCAAATTCAAGAATAATATACAAATACCTGAATTTGATATGAATTACTCTCCAAATCAGCTATCAAAAATGACTATCTTACTGAGTAATACTAAAGACAAACCTAATAAAATGCTCAAAAACTTTCTTCCATCCATAGTCAAAAGGAGGAGGGAGGGAAGTAAGAAAAAGAAAAGGAAAAGACAAAAATAGAGATACCTGATTGAGATAGCAAAGCAAAAATACACATAATATTCTAAGGAAAGAAACCCCAAAAGCTGTATGTGCTGCAAAAAAAAATCAATGATCTAAAATAATAAAACAAGATCTTAACAAATGCCATTTTCCTACCCGTTACCATGATGATCTTAACTGACAAACGTCGAAGCTTCACCATGGCAACGGAAACTATCATCATAAAATGGTACAGTAAAAGAGATAGCTAGACCAAGAAGGTGTAGGGTCTCCTGGGAAGAGGTCTGCAGAGAGGCCCAGTGACTGGTTGTGCGGCTCAGTGTCAGGAATAATGGTTATATGGTGGAAGGGGATGCCCAATGCCATTCTGAAAGTGATGATGTTGGCGATGAGCAAGGTATTCAGCATAACTCAAGGTCATCTTTTCACTACGGTACCTGAAAGAAAATCAGGGAAGAGAAAAGTTAACATCAAGATACAGGTGACATCCTATTGTAAGAGCTTGGAGGGCCCTGAGAGGTGACTTTACTGAGTGGGAAACAAGAAAAGGCCCCAAGAAGAGCAGGTATTTGCCCAAGGTCACAGAGCTGGTAAATAGCAAAGCTGAGAGCATTACGGAGGAATCCAAACTCTAGGTCTAGGGCTCTTCCTGCTCTACTACTCCTTTAAATTACTCTAGGAATATTATTGCCCCTTAGACCAGTTTGCAAGCAGGAGGGAACAAGAGAGAGCCAATCTTTTACCATCACGTATACATCTCCATCATATGTATATCTCATTCATTTGACTTTTTTTCAGAGACATTTATCTCTCCCACCTTTTACCATTTCTTTCATTATCCACACATCTACTTGAGTTTTGGCACTATGTAACAAAATGTTCTTGGTACTGGAACCCTTTCTTTTCCCTGTATCTAGTTATCTATCCACTGCCCCACTTTTCAGGACAGTGAGTATAGTTTCTGTCTTTGATCTTCTTCTCACACTACTAGCTCAGTGCTCTTTCCTTCTGCCACTGCTCTTTCATAGGAACTGCTGTCAGATGCTGCTTTGCATTCTGTTGGAACATTCCGGGATTCCATTCAGCACTCACTTTGTGATGCTCTCTAGTCCCACTTGTCCCTGGTTCTCTTCTTGTACCTCAGATGGCTTCTACCTCCTTACCTGTTGTATCTACTCCTGTTTTGTAGGATTTACCTAAAGTCTAACATTAGTTGTTTAGACTTTATGCTCTGCCCTCCTTGGTGCATCAGATTCTTATAGATTCAACTTTGACCTGCTCACAGATTATTCCAAGCATCATCTATATCGCTAAACTCTACAATGCACATTTTCAGTGACCTATTAGTTGATACAGACATCTCAAGAAGTAATCCATATCCAGAATTGAAATATAAACCTAACTGTTCTCCTGTGGTCCCTGTATTCTTTCACTGGTCCTTTTTTTCTAGACGAAGCCTTGACTTCCTTATGTCTAAATGACAACTGAGTCCTTTCATTTCTCCTACAGTATGTTCATATCTGTCCCTGCCTTCTTACGCTGCTACCACAGCTCTAATTCAAGGCCATATTGTGCTTTGTTTGTATTGCTGCCATACAGTCTTAGATATCAGCATTGTTTCCTAACTTATTACCCTATTTCCAATTCCAATACTACACTTCCCCAAGTCAATTTTTAAAACCCTAAAATAGCTACCAAATGCCTGTAGAATCAGGTCTGAATTTCTTAGTCAAGAATGTCAAGCCTCCTATGGGCTAACTCAATCTACCTTTTGGGCCATATTTTCCTCTAATGACATTTTCTATTCTCACTGAAAGACTAGCCACGTCTGAGAATTTCAGATTCATTGGGACTGGCTTTGAACTCCACCCATGTACATGCTTTGATGCACAACACTTCTTTCAGGAATCCATTTTCTCCTTCATTTTCTACTAGTCGAATATTCTACCCATTCTGTAAGCCAGCCCTGAACCTACCTCTTCTTTGAAGCCTTCTCTTACTCTGCAACTTCCTAGAGTTCCTCTACCCTGGCTTTATGACCCTATCCACCATACTCTACCTTGTTGTAATAATGATTTTTCTACATGCCCTTCTATTCTCCTCAAACTATAAACTCAGAGAGAACAGAAATGGGGACATTTTCAAATTTGTAAGTATGCAGAGCTGAGAACAATCCATTTTTAAACCACCACAGGCATATAATTCAGTTTTCTGGAGTTGAAATAAATGAAACAGTAACCCATTTTCCTAAAATGTTTGATACTTTCCTTCTTAAGTAAGTATCCCTATTATTCCATGCTGAAATTTTATTTAGCATTCAACTTTAGCTCAATTGTATTTTTCAATAAGCTTTCATAGTAGACTTCTATCACTGCCAAAATTCTAAGGTTAAATTCAAATGTGAAGACTGCTTATCAGAATCCTGGGGTTCTGCTACGCAATGTCAAAAGCTAGTGAATAGCTAATTCTACAGCTCTCTCCAACAAGGTAGTTTAAAGTCTCAGGGGGTTGGTTGTACAAAGCCAGAAAAATCACATAGCGCTAAAGATGGAAAGGATGGGCTCATATACCATGCAGTATTTACTGTCTAGCAGAGTTTCACTGTATACACTCTCCATATGGCCCTGTCATTTTTTTTCTAGTACGTTAGGAAAGAGAAGCAAGTGAGTTGCAGAGACCAAAGAAATAAAAGACGCTATAGGTATACTCTTGGAAATGTACTGCTCAGCTTTGTGCTAAAGAATGCTTCTGTACCTGGTCAGTTTTATGGTTTTCCTGAATTCATTAGTAATTGGAGCTTTGTATCCACCTTTCCTTAGCAAAGAGTCTATGGTCTGAATATGGTCCCATCCTGTGGAGAGATAATCAGATAGAATATCAGTCAAGCACATGCCACAAGCACCTTTGATTAAATACAAAAATGACTTTGTAGAGGTCAGCTATCACTGGCACCAAATACTATCAACTCCTTTCACCCTAAAATAATTATACAGAAGGGCTAAGATTTCACCCTTGTACAAAAGCAGGTTAATCACCACATGCCTAAAATTGTAGCCATCCACAATATCTAACAACACTGGATTCATCATTTCAACCACATTTGATGACAACTAGTGCAAGAGATAGCTCAGCTATGTCTCTGTAACAAACCAGAAACACTGTACTCTTCTCTAATAGTGACATCTTCAAAAGGGAGGAAAAAACCTCAATGTCAGCATGTGAACTCAGTAGTACTTGGGACTTCTATATGACTTCATGAAAATTGTTTCTTAATGGTATCTTTTCAGTAATGATCTATATTCTTAAAAATATTCAAGGGCATTTTATTGGTTCTGACATGAGTGGCATATCGGAGGCCCTATTTTGCGTATGTTTTATGAAGTCAGTAATACTGTATCATCACGACATTATCTAAAGTAATACAAATAAATCTTCATATAACTGCATTAAAGAGTAACTTTCTCATTTGGAGATTAACATGTCAAAACTTGTCATATCTCTCATATTTATATGAACACACGTGAGAAAAGCAAATTTTAAATGCTTTCTGAGAAGACAAGGTCTACAGAAAAATTCACTTGAATTCGTATGAAACTAGAATTTAGAAGTGGGCTAGGAAGCACAAAGTTCTATAGTGAAGTTGTTTTGTGTTGCCATATTGGTTCAGAAAGATTTGTATTATATCTGTGAAATAAGAAAATGACGTTGGTTAGGAAATATAGACTACACGTAAACTAATAGTACTTTATATATTCAAAATGCTCCCAATCTTAATGGGAAACTAACAGTTTCAATATTAGCAGAATGAGTAATGACAATCACCGAAGGATGAAACGTTAGCCACCCATGATGAATGGCTTTCAACTACATTACTGTCTCTAAAACTAAAGGACTATCTATGCCACCATGATAATTACAGCACAGTGGCGCATGGGAAAATGGTGTTTCAAATCAGCAGCAAACTGGTGCCTAAAGTAATATCCAACTTGTACAAATCTATGCCATTTTAAAAGGATACACTCATGAGTGTATGCTGTCAAACTTCGGGGCAAAGATGGAGCTTCTGTGTGAGGAATTGACCAGTCTGGGCCAGACATTGCAGTGGCAGTGATGGAAGAGGCAGTTTGACACTGACCAATTATCAATCATAACTGCAAGGTCAGTTACTGCATTTCAGGTTTTTTTTTTTCAAATCTTCACTAGATCATATGAAATAAAGTACAATGACCTTGCTCCTTTGCAACCTCTGGTAGGTAGGTGGCGGTGCGTTTTGATCCTTTTTCATTGATGAATTCTATTCTAATGCCATGTACACCCACCTGAAAGACATTGGCAGTTTTATTAGTACAGACTTCTTCATAGAAACAGAAAGAAAAGGTTATAATTAACTTTCAATGCAGTTCTCCCCTCCACCCCTTGCTTTTGGAAGCATGTGTTAGTTTTCTTTTTCCAAAGCTTTGGTTTTGAATTTGATGGTCATTAAGATATCCATGGAGACTAAATATATTAATCTGCATGTGCCCCACATGTGTCAGGCTATGCTATTCTGTTTAGAAATCTTGAACAAACATGCTGGGGCTATGCATAGAGTAGGATAGTTTATGACAAGAATCTTGCCCCAAATTCCAAGGTGCAACTCCTGATGACAACGAACTAGACAAAGGGATCTACTTCGAAGAGATAGCAAACAGCCATCTTGTTTATGGGTACACTCACCACTTGAGATTATATTCAAAAACTTTCTGTGCTGACTCTCTCTCCAGCTTGAGTTCTTTTTAAAATCTTAACTTACATGTAGGTAAGCCAATACTGACAGATAAGACTGACAAAATAGGCTAGGCATGGTGGTGCACATGGAAGGCAAAGGTAGGATGATTATGCATTGAGGCCAACCTGTGATACATAGTTCTAAGGCAGCTTGGAGTATATAGTAAGACCCTGCCTAAAAAGAAAAGACTAATATTTATAAATGCATGCATCTATCTATAATAATAATAATCAAAGAAAAGGACAAGTAATTGAGAGGGAATGAGGGGACATGGGAGGAATTGGTGGGGGACTGGGGAGGAAAGAAATAATGCAAAGACAATAATATTTATGAAATTCTCAAAAATAAAAAAATAAAGTTATAAAAACATCCAGCTTAGGCTGGGTGTGGTAGTGCAGGCCTTTAATCCCAGCACTTGGAGGCAGAGGCAGGCAGATCTCTGTGAGTTCAAGGCCAGCCTGGTCTACATAGTGAGTTCCAGGACAGGGAGACCCTGTCTCAAAAAGACCAAAAACAAAACAGCAA